CCCCCCCCCCCCCCCCCCCAAATATTGTTTGCTTTTTGTTTGGGGATGCATCACCCCATGCCACCACTCAAATTTTTTGTGCCCCTCCCTAGCGGCCACCATGTGTCCGCGAAGTCGTACATCCGCGCGGACGCGTCCGTGAGGTCGCAGACCTGGCCGCGGCCGCGGACTTCGCCGTGCTTGGTCGCCGTCGGGGGGGATTCGTAGTTGGAGGGTGCCCGTTTGGGTGATAGTGTAGTATTCGACCAGGACTGTTTGGGGTGCAACCATATGTATCAGGCCAATCCTCTGCGGGGTCCCTGTGCTTGCCACCCAGTCTCCTTCTCTCAAGGTAAGGCCACGTTTGAGGATTTGGTACCATTCCAGTGAGATAGCTTCAGTAAGATTTTCCGATAGCTCCTCTACGTGATGGCAGTATCTTAATGTTGCTCGCAACTGGTCCCCTATTTTCCAGTCTTGCCTTTCATTATCCCAAAGGTCCCCTACCCTAAGTAGTAAGTATACCATGTTTAACCCTGCTCTTCCAGGGCAGGAATGAGCTCGTCATGACGCAGCCCCTCGTGCTTGTCACCCATCTATTCCCAAAGAGCCGTTGACGGTGGACCTCCTCCCAGCGGCTGGGGTGGGTCCTGTCTGGGAGCGGAAGTTTACGTCAGGTTTGCAGTAGGGATGACAAAAAATTATCCAGCGTCCGACCCCCTCCTTCTGGCCCCTCCCTTCCATGTGGGAGTTTGAGTGGAATCGTTCAAAAATGGTCCTCCAACCAGGTCAGTGGATGGGTTTTGTGGGGGATTGTTGAGGCCAGCTGGGCCAAATGTTCCAGAGCTAGAACACAGCACGGGCTTTGAGAGGCAAAGATAAGTTTTTTTATCCGTTTCACTCGTAATGCTTGCTCCTGCGTGGTCGGATCAAGTATTCCCAAACCTCCTCGTACTTTCGGCTGGACAATTGAGTCTCAGGCCACTCGACTTATTGCATTGGTCTACTCTCCATCCACTCGACTTAAATATATATATATATACAGGGTCACCAGCCCATACGTTCGGAGGTCCCCGGGCTTACCTCCGTACGTACGGGCGTTCGGGGTCCCGTACAGGGTCCAAACCCGACGGCGTTCGACCCCCACCAAAAATTATTTCGGTGCCTAAAACTAACTTGTTTTTTTTGACTTTTTTTTTGTGAGTTGTTTAAGACGTGAGGTAAATGTCTGTAAATTTTCAAGTCATTTGGCTAAGYCAAATAAGAAYWAAAAATCGCCAAAGATGGCGGTGTCAAAACATGCTCGACCACGTATTTTTTCACTTTTTACTTTTTGTTTTCACTTTAGTTCAGGGTCTAAAAAAATTATTATTTTTTGAAACATTTTAAGTGGGTTTTATTTTCACTAAATTTAATTTTCTTTTTATTTTTATTTATTTTTATTATTAGTATTTGTTTTCCGCATTTTATGTTTATTTCAAATTTGGAATTCGGATGTAATGCTCAGGCAAATCTTGTTGAATTTATTTTTCTCCATAACATATATTTCTTTCAGAGTTTTTTGATGACTTTGTTTTTTTTTTTTTTTGGTCCGCGTTCGGCCTGAACGGCCGAACGCATCCCCAAGGGGTCCCATACGTTCGGGCGTTCGGGTTCGGGCGTTCTGCCAGTCTTGAACGTCGGTTACCCTGTACATATATATATATATATATATACAGGGTTACCTGACCGAACGTTTGTCGGCCCCCGGGCTGGCCCCCGAACGTTCGGGTGTTCGGGGTCCCGTTCGGGGCCCGAACATCTCCAGGTTCGGCCCCCTCCAAAAACAAATTCGGGGCCTAAAAATAAGTTTTTTTTTCTGATTTTTTTTTTTTGAGTTCTCTATGATGTACCAAGACATCTATAAATTTTGAAGCCATTCTGCTAAGCCAAAACAATATTAAAAATCGTCAAAGATGAGGGTGTCAAAATGTGCTCGCCCACTCACTTTTTTTTTTTTTCCACTTTTCACTTTTTGTTTTTAATTTATTTCGGGACTTCAAAAATTTTACTAGGTTATTGATTATGTAAACTACATATATGTAAATTTTCAGGGCATTTGTCGATGCAGAAAAATAATTAAAAATCGGCAAAGATGACGGTGTCGAAAAGGTGCTGGCACACTCACTCATTTTAATACTCTTTTTTTTTTTTTTTTTTTTTTGTCATAGTGTTTATTTTCTGTATTTGATTTTTAATTCAAATTTGGTAAAGAAGTTGGATGTAGTGCCCGTGCAGATGGTGTTTAGTGTATTTTTCTCCATAACACTGTTTATTTTCGGAATTTTTTGAAAACCTTCATTTTTTTATTTTTTTATCTTTTTTGTCCACTTTCAGCCCGAACGGCCGAACGCCTTCCGAAGGGGTCCCGTACGTTCGCGCGTTCGGGTTTGGGCGTTCGGCCCGTCCCGAATTCCAGCAACCGTGTATATATATATTGTTTGGGACTGTCGGATTGAAATTGAGGAATCCTGTTTTCTGTTCTGTGTTCGATTTGTCTACTCCGTCACTACGGTGACTCTGCTTTGTTTGATCTCGAACTTCTGTTTCATTTCGAACCTCGTGTTTGTTCCATCACAATTCACAACGTTTTGAGACCGCCATTTTTGACGATTTTTAATTAGTATTAGGCTGAGCCAAATGACTTGAAGCTTTATAGGCAGGTACCTCATTTCATAGAGAACTCACAAAAAAAAATTCACAAAACAAAAGTTATTTTTAGGGCCCGAAACATGTTTTGGCGGGGACCGAACGCCGTCAAGTTCGGACCCCGTACGGGACCTCGAACGCCTATACCTACGGACGTCAGCCCCGGGACCTCCGCACGTACGGGCTGGTGACCCTGTATATATATGTATATGTATATATATATATATCGTCACAAACAGAACTGCCCAGTAAACCGTAGGCAGAGAGAAAGAAGAGGACAACAAATGAGGGGCTGTGACAAACTGTTTCGTCGGAGTTTCACCGACTCATCAGGAGGTTGAACCCCCGGGCTGGCCCCCGAACATTCGGGCGTTCGGGGTCCAATTCGAGGGCCGAACACCTCCAGGTTCAGCCCGTCCGGAATGCCCGTACGTACGGAGGTCTGCCTGGGGACCTCCGTACGAACGGGCTGGTGACCCTATATATATATATATATATATATATATATATATATGCATTCAGACTTCCTTTCCTCGATTGGGCATGCATGCAAAGAGATACAAATATCGCTGGCACAGTGCGCGTACACAGAAAAGTCACAGATTTGAACCTTAGCCAAGAACACGGCCATTTTCATCTTCTCTAAAAAAATTGCTATGGGGTTGAAGGCCCAATAAGTTTCTCCCTCGAGCGATGTATCCCCACCACTTACTCACTCACGCATGCACACGCATTCACTCATGAGCTGTTTGGATCTACCCTGGATGTACTGACACACACACACACACACACACACACACACACACACACACACACACACACACACACAAACACACACACACACACACACACGCACACACACACACAACACACACACACACTCACTCATGCACACCTACGATCTACGGAGTGCCACATACGACCGTTCAGGATGAGGTTGGTGTGCCGGAGGGTTGAAACGCGAAGGTTGTCAAGCAGGGTGTCCGGTACTACGAGTTGGTCATAGAGACAGTGAAGCGATTGGGGGCACTCGTTACTTTGATGATTGATGGTCGATACGACTCTGCCAGGGGTGCACAACACTGCACTATTACTGCCATCGAGTACGATACTCATCTTGTGTTGGGTATACACACACTCCGTCCCAAGACTGACGGAAAGGCATCCAATCAGCTTGAGGTGCCCGGTGTTATGCTCCTTTTGAGAGGTTTGCTTGCGAAGGGTTTGCGGATTAGGTGTGTTGTCCCCGACGATTGTGCAGCCTTGCTCTTGGTATTGCTTGGCAGAAAGATTGCCACCACAAAATCAATTACATTCGCAAGCATTTTAGGAAAATATTAACGTTGAAGAAGGCGAAGAGAGTGAGTAACCCTCACCAGTGCGTGTTAGAATCTTACCTCGTGCATTTTACGAAGAAGGAGATGTTGGATGCTTTGGCGGCCAGATATGAAACGGGTAGCTTGACGGGGAAGGACGAGCGTTTGAAAAAATCGGAGTTCATCGCGGTTGTGCTATAGAAGATGTATATGTTTGGCACGTTGATGAACGCCCAAAGTTTGGAAGTTGATCCCGATGGTGTGACAGAGTTTCAGGCGCACGAGGTTGGGATGTGGTTCCTCCTCGCTTCTCGCCTTTGCAAAGACGAGGGTGGGGATGCTGAGACTTTGCACCGCGATATTATGATGATCGCGGAGTACTGGGCTGAAGATCATTCGCGGTGTATTGGCGAGAGGCAACTTCTATGCGAGAAGGGAGGCAGGCCTGGACGATTGTCGTTGTACACGCGCGACGACAGTGTGTACGAAATCGTTGTGCAGCTTCTTGGGAAACATTGTAGCACGAAGAACACGGTCTACTACACCGAGTTACGTCACGCATCGACGGTTAATACCTTCCAGGGCACGATGATCATCTACACCAAGAAGTTTGTGCATTTCGAGAAGTCTATTGAGGCACAGCTGGCAATCGCAGTGATCCGGTGGAACAGTCACGCATGCACACCGCTCGACGTACCGGCTGGCACTTCCATTCACGGTAGGTCAGGTTTCTATCGACACAATCCCCCCGCAGACACTTCTTGGGAAGATAGGTTGTCGGCTTTCGTGTTTGGTTTGTCTGGAGTCTCGGACTCGGCCAAACGTCTTCTACGCCACGGTGATTGTGATATGGGAGAATGGCAGTAGGCATCGCCGCCTCCGTTGTCGCACGACATTTTTGTTAGAGATGGAGATGCGCATGTTGATGTTGATGACGATGTTGAGTCCGGTGCAGACGATGATGTCCTGGGGGACAACGACATTTTCATAGTTGGTCGTGAGTCGGGTGATGCGGGGATTGTAGGTCGTGAGGTCGATAACGCAAGTAGCTCGGATGTGGGGGGTGACGATGTTGAGCTAGATAGTGAGTGACTTCCCTGACGCCTCACTGACTGTGCGTTCGACTGCTATGATCGTTTCCCGTATTGTTACACCACGATGTAGTTATTGTGTCAATGCTTGCGGCAAAAGATCTCATGGCGTCTTCTTTCGGTGACGAGTTTGTGTTTTGTATTTTTTCAGCACTTTCGTTGGCTTTTCGATAGATAGATATATATTGTCACATAACTATTGACTAAGAGCGTAAGGACATGAAGTGGAAGAAAAAATAATATGAGCGAAGAAGGCAAAAATGAAAGGACAAACAGACAAAGAGACAAACAAACCATAATGACACAAAACAACGTCCTCTTATTATTTGTTTCACAGTATTATTATTTCTTCCAGTGTTATAAAAAAAAAAAATCATTAAATCAAATATATATATATATATATGAAATGCAAATGCATCCTTTTTCGTTTCACATAGCGGAACATCACGCTTGATTTTGCGGACATCGTGTGTGTATATCGTGTTTGTATGTGTGTGTGTGTGTGTGTTTGTGTGTTTGTGTGTGTGTATGCGTGTAGAAGGGAGGGCCCGGAGGGGGAGAGAAAGAAAGAGAGAGACAAAGAGAGAGAGTCCGTCACTTTTGTTTTTTGCACTATCAATATGTGTCGCTCAAATCGCCGATACCGGTCATACCACTTATCACGGTCAGTGACACCATATATTCCATGGCCTCTCTTTCTCTCTCTCTCTCTCTCTCTCTCTCTCTCTCTCTCTCTCTCTCTCTCTCCTTGGGCACACATGGCGTAACGACGAGCACGGCCATTGATGAACAGAAGCAACTATCGCAGTGCACATCGAAGAGGCTGCGCGTTCTCTTCAGGATCGCAACGTCGCAGTCGACCCCCCCGGGGGTTTGTATCCGGGCATCATTCCCGCATCGCTCTCTAAAACTCGCCAGACAATTTCTGTCGAAAAGCCACGAATCCGCACCTGCATGAAAACATGACACCACTGTTGAATCGATTATGCTTCGTCATGATATTGTCACGACCAATGAGCAAATTCATGCATTCCGGCAATTCGTCCTCGAGATCAACGTCAACCATTGCCTGTTCCAAAAGTGCAGAAGCCTCTGGCCAATGACTTCTTATCATGTCGACCATCAAGTCTTCGTCTCGAAACAGATCAATATTTGTGCCATTACCATAAACAACTGCGTCGGCTCGCACACCTGCCATGTGTCTTCGGCGGTCCGTATTCACAGTACTAAAGTTTGTAGCGTGTTTTTTTTTTTTTTCGCCATCAAGTGTACATAACATAATGAAATGTACAACAATACACAGACCATAGTATCTCATTCGCCACACATCACAAACATAGTCAATCCTCAAAAGGAAAACTAGTGTCGTATAATGCTACATGTGCGTCGTATACAAGCGCTTCAAAAAAAAAACAAAGATTCATTATGTGAATTCATACTTTTCTACTGTCGAGTGGCACTGCATATCATCCTATGCTATGGTTTGGGCAGTAGTAAGGAAATAGCAATACGGTATTTGACCCAAAGGGTACTGAAATTTAACGACCGATCAGGCGCCCTCCACTGCGTTGAAGAGGTTGTCTCAGGCAGCAACATCACATGGGTGCAGTCTTTTAAGAAACAAAGTCAATGGATATATATCAATTGACACTGTTTATTCGTGCTTTACCTTTGGTATCAAAGCAATGACAACAGTCGATCGCAAAAGTTTGTGCTGTCACCGACTACGTAAGGGGGGCACATCCATACACTCTACATTGCATCGTGACGCAATGTTTCATGATGACTATCGATAATTGTGATAACAAGGGGATGCACGATATCGAATAGCTCATCTCCAGGTTGTGCATGGAAAACACGAGTTAAGAAGTACGTTGTATTTTTCCTAAGTAAGAAACGTATATGTATAATCGAATTTCGAAAATAGTAAATCTCTGTCATGAACCGCACAACAGCTTCACCGTCAACCAGTACGACATAGTGCTTCATGTCCAGCCTGTCTCTCCAATCGAAAGCGGACAATTCACCAGGACCAACGACTCTCACAGGGTAAGTGAGGAAATATTAGTCCGCATCACGATTGTCCGGCAAGCGAGCACTGTACAATAGTCCAATGATTCTAAATTCCATATCCGAGGATTACGTAAACCCCCGAGGACAATGTGAACTCCCTGCAACATTACACATAATTATATATATATATATATATAAAGAGAAAGAGAGTAAGTTGAAATAAACATATAAATTGTAATTTGTATGTAAAAGACGTATTGCCAATAATTGACTGCTACATATACAGTCGTACGAATATGGCCCGTTCGTACGTACAGGCACCCCGGTGCCCGTACGACCCGTACGTACAGACCTTGGGCCCTCCGTACGTGGCCTTTCGGGGGCGTGTTGAGGGGGTGGATGGGCTGGAGGGGGGGTTAGGTGTCAGGGGGTACCCCCCCATTCAAAAAAACAAAAAAAAGAAAAAATATTTTTCTGGTCCCGAGGCTTTTTTTTTTTTATTATTATTAATTGATTAATTGGTTAATTGATTGATTGATTGATGGAATTATTGATCGATTGATTGAGTGATTGGTTGATTGATTGATTGATTGATTGATTGATTGATTGATTGATATGAGGTGGGGGGGTCGCCTGCCCCCCACGAGTACACACACACACACACGCTTACACACACATACACACACACACACACACACCACACACACACACACACACACACACACACACACACACACACACACACACACACACACACACACACACACACACAGA